TGTGAGCGTTACTGGGATGGAGCCTACACTTTTACGAAATATCAAAGTATATAAATTTTCTGCATTTCGATTTATGTTTTCAATATATGATTTTCTTATAATAGGACAACATGTAAATTCTAATTTCGCAAGTTTATGACTCGTGAGAATCCGAAATAAACTATCAGGTATAAGGGGTCCAACTTTGACATGTTTGAGTTTAGTATACCGTGTATCTTGGAATATTGTGAAGAAGTTGTTAGGATTTGCAGCAGGATTGATTTCGAAGTATTCTATAAATAATTTATCGCATATTTCGTGTGGTAAAACCACATCTTTCAAGAGGTGTCGATTGCCATACTCATCCTTCACCGAAATAAGATCTAAATTCTTGCAGATCACTTGCAAACACAATTCTGAAAGAGGTCGGGGACCCACGTAATGATCTAAACGGAATAAGTTATCCAAATCGAACATCCTACACGGCAATTTAGATGAGTTAAGCGTAATAAGTGGTCATATGAAATATACTGACAACAATTACGCAATTTCAACTGTCAAATATGTTAAAACGCATCAGCTGGACATCATTACTCAAATTCATTGCAAACGAGACCACATTTACGAACGTTCTCTTAGTTTCCTTTGTTGCAGGAGAACCAAACAATTATTATTTACTCCACGACACTACAAATCACAAATGAATCCGAAATTGATACATTCACGCTAGATGTTTCACGAAATTTAATCGACAGATAACTGATTGTACGTATGTATGTAAGTGTGTACGTTTTCACGCTTGTAATTTTGATATTTCATTTGACTACCGTAGTAACGCTTTTCTCCAATACTTGACTAGCTATATCACAGCCGTCTTTAGTAGAAGGCCGGAATCTACCCTACCACGTAGGCCAATTCAGCTTGACAAATTTTTTTCATGTTAATTTCTTTTCTTACAAACGTATCATATGTGTAAGATTTTATATTGTCTATACTTGTCTATGGTACATATATAAGAAAAGGAGATAGCAAAGCATAGACTATTACATATAAAGAGGATCATGTCCATGGACCTGAAGGACGGTTTCCTCTCTGGTAGTAACTGTTTACGTAAATAACGATATAATAGCGTTGTTATTTTTATTACTATGCACATTCGTAGAAGATTATGTAGTAAATCTTTGTAGATGACTTGTATTAGATCAGTTATAATACATATTATAAACTAGTTGGTCAAACAGAAAAACAATGTCTTCTTCGAGGGTCGACGAATTGATCAGTTATTTCAAATCTCACAATAAAATAAGGGAACAACAAAGTCATTCTGCAAAAGTGCACAGTGTAGGATGGAGTTGCGATGGTAAACTATTGGCCTCCGGATCTTTTGATAAATCTGTTTGCATTTTCTCCCTTTGTCCGGATCGTTTAGTGAGTACACACAACGTCGACTCTGGTTCTTCTTTCCCAATATTCTGTCATATTTTTGTTTAATCTATAATTTTATTATGCATTTATTTATTACTTGAGTGTCGAGTACTAGAAGACTTATTATTATCAGTATCAGCAATATACTTTGTTACATTCTGAGGTTATCTCTTTTCATATTACGAGAATCTTGTTCGATTCTATTATAATTTACTATTTCTTTGTTGTCTTTAATTATTTTTTACTATTGCTATTTTTTCATTTCTTTACTTACAATGCATTAATGCAATGTAATTTATTACAGAAACAAGAAACTACTTTTAGAGGACATGGTGGAAGTGTTGATCAACTATGTTGGCACGCATTTTACCCAGAATTATTGTCTACTGCAAGTGGGGACAAAACAGTTCGGATATGGGATACAAGAACACAAAAATGCACAGCAAATATCAGTACAAGAGGTGAGAATATCAACATATCATGGTCACCTGATGGGAACACAATAGCAGTTGGAAACAAAGAGGATCTGGTGACTTTCATCGATGCAAGAGTGATGAAGATTCGTGCCGAGGAACAGTTCAATTTTGAAGTTAATGAAATTTCGTGGAACAAAGATTCAGATACGTTTTACCTTACCAATGGTCAAGGCTGTGTACATATCCTTAGTTACCCAGATTTGGAGCTGTTGCACGTCATCAAAGCACATCCAGGAACCTGTATTTGTATAGAATTTGATCCTACTGGAAGATATTTCGCAACTGGCTCAGCGGATGCTTTGGTTTCCTTATGGGATGCAGACGAACTGTGTTGTTTAAGGACATTCTCTAGATTAGAGTGGCCAGTGAGAACTATATCATTTTCATATGACGGGCAACTGTTAGCAGCTGCATCTGAGGATCTCGTTATAGACATTGGCGAAGTTGAAACCGGAGAAAAAATCGCAGATATACCTGTAGAAGCAGCAACCTTCACGGTTGCATGGCACCCAAAACAATATTTATTAGCATATGCGTGTGATGACAAGGATACGTATGATAGAAAACGCGATGCTGGCAGCCTAAAGGTATTTGGATTCGCCAATGATTAACAATCCAATTTTTAGATTTTCATATTAAACTCCATATTACAAAGAAATGACTCAAATGATCTCTATACCTCCTCTAATGTATTTCTAATAATATCGTAAATATCGTACCGAATACAAAAATACGATATACGTAATGGTCTCGAAGACTGTATATAAAGTGTGAATATACTTTCAGTATTTTAGGATTTTAGGATTTTATTGAAGACATAAGAACGTTTTTTATGTCTTCTATCAGCCTAAAAATGTATGTATTGTTTACATAGTTCACAGCACAAGAACTCGTGAATAGTTTGTTTGGCATTTTGTTGACATGGTTACTGGAAGTGGAACACTCAAGCACTTTCCTTAACCTGACAAACCGTCGAATTACTATTTTACTACTATTGGGTATCATGTCATGTTCAGAGGACATTCAACCTGATTGCAAGTGTCAGTTGACGTTAACGTTATCGAACAATATAATTCGCGAGGAATTTCCTGAAATGAGGGATAGTTTTAATCACGTACCCAGTATCCATGAGGTGGACGAAGAAGAGACCGACGAGGAGTACACCTACGATCAGGAAGGCAAAAATTCTGACCGAACCGAAACTGAACAAACTGTAGCTTTAACTAAGGATACCGTGGATGAGGATACTATTTACAGCAATGATTCCTTTTGCTCGGACGAATCATGCGATGAGTCCGAAGGGACGAACGCCTCTTCAAGATCTCTCGACGATTCTCATTTTTCGCCTCAAATCACTAATCGTCAATGTATCGAGGAGAGCAGCAAAAATGAGGAAAAAAAGTGCGAGAATGCGATATTGGAGAACAATATCACACATTCGGCTCAGTCCGAGGACGAGATAGAGATCAGGCAGATAAGGAACAGGCGAAGAAATATGAGCTTTACTGATGACGAGTTACGAAAGATCGAGTGGGAGAATCAAATTCTGTTGAAGAAGATAATGGCTCAACAGAGACCAAAGGAGAGAATACTCCACGAAAACGTGCCACCCACGCGAATTAGTAGTTCCGCAATAAACAGGAAGAAACTGCAAAAGAAGATAGAAAATGAAAATATAGTATGTACTAGTGTTCGAGTTAGGGTACGGTGTGTTTCAGTGGATTACTATATTTAATGGATCACTGTATTTGCAATTGCAGCTGCTGCTTCAAAGGATACAACGGGCTAAGTCGCGCGTGGTGAACAAAATGACAAAACCTGGTGGTAGACAAACGATTTTATAATCTGTAACAAATTATTTTTGTACACCTTATCTTAGGCAGAATTTTGGTATATCTTTTTATACGTACACTATACATTGTATCTGTAATGAAAACCTCATTATTGCGGTTGGTTTCTTGTGCCACTGAACATTAAATTGTAAGTGATTTTAGTATAATAGAAATGGATGTATAAAATTTCTGATATACGATTCCCTGTTTTGTAATAAAGATGGTTTTATTAAATTGTTTTGTATCTCATTTTCAAGGTTCAATTAGAAATAATAATAAAATAAAAATGATTAAAACACAGCAATTACCAGTCTTGAAGAGTAGGTACACATTTTTATTTTGTTTTGTATACATCACAACTTTGTAAAATGTTTTGAAAACTTACCGAAGAAATTTCTACAAGTCAAGACTATAAAAATCACAGTTCTCACTCGTTCCAAATAACTTAACCATTATCTTCTGTTTCTTTTTTCCATAACATCAAAACCAATATTCTCTGAGTATTGTGATCACTTTTCATGTACATGTGTAGAAAATACAAAAAGAAAGAAAAAGTCAAAAGCAGTAGGTATTAAATTGCAAAATCCACAAATTAAATGTTTACACGCTCTCGACTTTAGCGTTTCGACTGTTACCACATTTGTAATCAAATTTTTGTTGATCGTTCAAACTCAAAAAAATGAAAAGGAAACTTGCAATTTTGAATCTAATTTTAACGCACACTTACTAGAGTACTAAATCAACATAAGTCAACAAGTGACAACGTGAGAATTTAACAAGTACAAAACAATTTTGCCCGAAACTTATTTGTCGGTATTATTATGTACTATTCAACAACGTATCACAAAATGCGCGAAACACGAATAATAACAAAAAAACGAGACGGTTGTTTAAGCGTTATCGATCACAAAATGTGTTGCTAATAAATATTAATCATTAATTTCCGTATTAAAAAAAAGAAAATTGGTTCAACCAGGTCTAGAGATATCACAAGATACAATATCGAAAATATTTTGAGAATGAAATTAGTCTTCGTGCAATTTTTTCCAAGACTCTGAGGATGACGGTGTCCAAATTGTACTGAGCGAGCGAAATGGATCAAAACCCGATCTTTCCTGGAAAAATAAATGTTCAATTCAAATGAAAACTGTTTATGTTTAAAAAAATTAGCGAAATTGATTGAAATAAACTTTACAAGGAGCGAAAACTATCTTACTTGCGTATCCGATTCTGTTTGTAACGAAGGTATTTGTGAAACCACAGGAGGTGTAGCTGCACCCCATGGACCAGCAGCCCAAACACCACCTGTATTTACTCCCCAAACACCGCTTCTCTCTTCTCCCACCGCTGCTCTGGTATACAATGGCTCCCAATTCGTTTCCACCGTTACCCAATTATCTGTACATTTAAGCCGCAATTTATTATAGAAGAGAAGAAATAAGAATCGTTCTCACCTTTCAACGTATCCGTAAGTATCGGTGGCTTTTCCGTAGACTTTGGCGATTCTAACTGGAATCCATTTGTATTATCGGATAACAATTTGAACATTGGATTATTATCTTCCCACAATTGGCATCGCGTGTCTTCCTCAGGACTTTCTAGTTCCATCAACGGTTCATCGGTTTCTGGAAGATCGTCGTACGGGACCAGTTCTCGTTCAAACTAAAAACATCAAATGATGCGTCATCAACTCATAAGCAAACATGTATTGCGAATCGCTATTTAACTTACTGGTGGTTCGGTAAAAGCGTTCATGAAATAACTGTTTGAATGATGCTGCGAATTATTCTGCACCTTAAACGTATCTTGACTAACTTGTTTCTCTTTCTCGACGGATTGTACGCAGAGAGACGGGGATTTCGATACTATTCTGTATTCCTTTTGTATCAACTCTTGACTCGATTGCTGTTTAGTATAATCTATATCTTTGGTGTCGTTATTGAAGACCATCGACAAGTTATGCGTTGTCGTTTGGCTTTTGTGTAACTTATTTAAGCTCGTAAACGGCGAGATGTTCTCTTGGTTCCGTGCCACGACGTCGCTGAACCTAGCTCGATTCTCGCCCCAGCACGACGGTGGCGGCGGTAACGGTGCGGAAACGGTACCCAGCATACGCGTCGAATCTTCCCTCTGATTAGGGTTTCCATTCAACGTCGCCGTTTTTACGTGCCCTTTATCGATACCTCGGCGTTTCTGAGATCCTTTATCCTTCCTAGGAGGATTCTTATTCTGACGAGATATCTTAAACGATGACTCGACCGTGCGCGTCGTATGAATATGATGCTTTATGGTGGACCTTCCTGCCGTGTTCGTTTTCCACCTGTTAGGATTGTTGTGCCTCTCTTTGTCGTACTCGTCGTCGTCGCAGTCACCCTCGTAATTGTCTCTATAATCTACGCATGGCACAGAGGCGACCGCCTGAGGCTTAGTTTTTTTCGTTGCAGGCTTCCGTTGCAATTTATCGGACTTCACGCATGTCTGATCGAAATTCTGCAATACATAAGATTATTCTATACATAAGATTAATTCGTTAAAAGGTGATAAGGGAGGTCATTCATTACATAATTCTCACCTTGCAAGGCGGTGGATCATCTTGAAGCGAACTCTCCGTTGTGGTAGACGACGTTTCTTCCTCGGACAAATGAGTGTTCCTCTGATTATTGTTAGATTCGAACTTTTTAAAAGATACGTGACTATTATTGCTGTTGTTAACCGCAGTCTGTTTCTTTTTATTATCTAACTTATTGTTTCGAGTATTATTCAAGAAACCTGTTGTATCTACTTGCACTTCGTGATCGACTAACTTCGTTTCCACCTTGATGCTCGCCGCCTGATTAGATTTTCCTTTTCTATTTGTTACAGGACTCGTTTTAATAAAAGTATTTACACCGTACTTCTTTTCCTGAGTCCCTTGAATATCCGTAAACGAGCTCTCTGTCACACAATTGTCCGTTTGAACCTCTTGAACGTTGTTCTGCTTTTTATTGTTCTTCTTCTTGGCACCAAGAGCAATATTGCTTATAACATTACTGTTATCCAAAACTGGTTCTTCGCAACGTTTGAACGACAACAGATCCTTCGCTTCGGTATCCAACTTGAATCTTCGTTCCTCGTCCGCAGTCCAGTCAGGTATTTTTAATCCCTTCTGCGTGTTATCTTTATCCTTGAACTTCTTCACGTTCATCAGCGTCCAATCCGGATACGTTTCCTCCTTCTTGATCACCTTCTGTTTTTCCTCGTTAATTAATTTCTCTTTGAAGGAAGTCGTCTCTTGCGCTGATTGTACTGACATGTGCGATAGCAGCCTTAAATCTAGCGGTGGTTGAACCGTGCTCTCTCGCGAGAAGCTGGCCAAGGCTCCTTGCAATATCCGATCCGCCTCAAGAAACGAAATGGCGAGAATGCAGATCAACAATATCGACGAGAAACTTATAGCTGCCCATTGCACGAAGTGTTCCCACGAAGGTCTTGCAATCGCGGCCGTACAAGCCTCCAAGGAGTGTGGTGGAAGGGTGGCCAGTAAATTAAGTACTACCATACCGTTCTCAATGTCGCTATCGGAGTTCAAACTGGTCGATATCAGAAGCTTCCTTTCGATACGCGACAACGTGAAATCCGGCGTAAACGCAATTTCCACCTTCTTCGTGGAGTTCGGATTTAATTTGAACGGCATACAGTTCAAAACTTTGAAACCGTACCCCTCGCACCGTAAACCGTTAATATAAAAATCATAGATTTCTATTGGAAGTTCCCCGGTGTTCCTCGCCATAAATGATCTTTTCACCGTCAAGTTCGGAGCCGGATTTCGTTTATACCGTTCTCCTGTTGATTAGAAAGAAAATATTTGAGAAATACGTATTAATATCTGCTGATAATTTTTACTTGTATATAACTCATGAGAAAGTTTTTGATCAAACGCGTTTCTTCCTTAAACGATAGAACGAGGATAAAGAAACGTACATACGTTCACAATCTTTAAGATGTTTATCAGCAAGTTCGAATAGCAAAGGCATAGTGGAACCTGGCTTTCGATTTCCGAATCTAAATTGTGCATTCGCCCCTTGGCCCATTACGCGTAACACCTCCAAAATGGTCATGTTGTTCCTATAATTATGCTTCGATTCAGTGTCTTCATAGGCAAATATAAAAAATTAAATTCGTTTGTCCATGAAGTTTACCTAATGTATAAAAGAGCGGACGATAAAGAAGGGGAGAAAGGCGTGTATGATATTCGTACGGTTCTTGACTCCGAGGGCTTCAAATACAAGGGAATCGATTGCGATGCTACTACGATGTCCCATTCCTCTTCGAACCTTTCTCTGTCAGTTATACTTTCTTCTAGTTTGAATTCTTCCGCGACCGTAGATCCGCACTCGGCGCATGGGAACTTAAACCTACACAGAAGTAAATATACGATGTAGATAAACCGAAAAAAGAATGTGCATGGCTGAAACAACGATACGTACTTAGCAGGTAACGAATGATAGAGTCTTGTCCCTTGCGGGTAATTCCAGTCCATGACTAACTGTATCATTAAAGGACTAGTACTCGGATTATGCACTTTTATCGTGCTGTAGGACGTGTTTCCAACTTGCGTCAGAGGGAACGCTAAAGCAATTTTATTTTTGTTATTACCGAGGCCAGTCAATAGACTGGGCCAATGCGGTTTTATGTTCAAATAAAATTTGTGCCCACGAACTTCTGTCGTGTCCAGGCGCATCGTGATATTATCCCAAGAACGACCGCCCGTCGAGTTAAGAAAACGCATGTATCTAGTGTTTAAAAAGTTTAAATCGGAGTCCCTCGTATGCGACGGAAGAGCCAACGTGTTCAGCCATTGTTTACCGGCGTTACTGTCCAATGATAAACCTAAATAACAATGATGTTTGCAAGCCACCGACGGTTCGATTTTCATAGATCCGATGTAATTCTCTCCTTTTGTAATAACAGGCATCGACGCTTCCTCCAGAGGAATATACTTTATTCTGTTATCTTTGTTAACGGGCACGATTCGAGTTACTTGCATCGGTCTTGCAAATGTCGAATGCACCTTAACTTGCTGCACGCAAATCGATCCGGGAAAGCAGTCGGTAAATATAAGCTTCTTCAAGGAAATCCTTCCGTGTGCGACTCGCATGTAAACCGGTAAGATGAATCTCTCGTAAGTCGTTCTGACAAATACGTCGCCTACTATCGTATCCTCTTCCACCATCGGAGTTTTTACTTTTATTTTAAAAATAGCTAAATAGCCGGGCTTTATGTATTGATTCCCAGTATGACTGCACACGGTGATATTGCGAAGGTCTTTGTCCAAAAAATCAGCCGGACCTCTTTGGCAACCCATCAACTCTAGTACTGCGCCAGGCATGTTCACCCCCCACCCGTGTAAATCTATGTTAATAGGATTTTGATTCTCCAAAGCAAAAATGGCCTCATTTTCGGTCCCGCTTCCCACGGTACCAAAGTGCATCGTGCCGTCCTCGCTTTCCCTACCTTCGGCAACGATTTTCCTCACTTTACCATCGTAACTTAACAACGGGACTTCCGTTACCGAGACATTCGAATGAATTAAAATCGACGATTCCATCTTCACGTTATCGGTTTTTCTATCCTTTGCGAGTTGTAAAGAAAATATATTGACCTTTTGCTCTGGTTTTATCACTCTTGGAATAAAATTCTTTATCTGGAAAATAAAAGTTCATTGTTGACAAATAAAATATTTGATATAAATTGTTAAAATATTTGTCTTTTTTGAGTATATTATTATTTAGAATATCTGCTTACGGTAAAAAGTGACTTCACATGCGTTGACATTGTAACATTTGTGATAGCTAACGGCAATTTAAATTTATTAACAACGCTAAAGTTTCGTGCTTGATTAGATTGGAGAGAACAATAATGCGTAATTGATGCGTTTACTTCTAGACCACCCTGTAAAACTTGTGCTATCCATGGTATTGTTAGTTTCTGATTAGAACCACCGGGACCTATAGCTTTTATTACTAATTTCCCTTTAAAATGTTGTAACTCTAAACCAGTCTTCCCTAAAATGAAACATAAACATTAACACAAACGTGTATATAATAATACAATGCAATTACTTACAGTCATAAATTAGTGCTCCAATTGCAATCGGTATATCCGTCTCTCCTGGAATAACCGCTTGTTCGAAATGAAGTTTCAATGCTTTAGAAACTGGTGTACTAATTATATTCTATAAAGATATAAAACAAATGGTACAATTTGATAATCTAAACCTATTTATCATAACGCGCTTGGTAATTATTTACCATAACTTTTATTGGCTTTTTCGCCGAATTTTTCAAAGCAATAGGATATTGAATGGGCGGTTGAAGCGAACCACCCATACCTAAATTTATTACTCCAGAACTTCCGCCCCAATGTAGACCAGCCCCACTTTTAACTTCGACTTCGACTGTTACAACAAGCACTTCCGAAGTGTTATTTACTTTAAGCCTACAACGTGCAGGAAAATTAATAATCAAGTACAATTTGTCGCAAGAAAAGGAAAACTAATTGAACAAGCAAACCTAATGTATGCGGTATGATTTTTTTCTGTGTAAGCATTAAAATGTAGTCTTATGATAGGTTTTGTTTGATATGGTGGGATTTCCCATAGTTCACGCGAACCCTCTGCTTCCCCTGATGGCAATTCCAGTTGAAATTCTCCACCACTACTATATACCTCTAAAACCTTGATACACACAAAACGATATCAGTTAACGAACAGAGAGAATGAAAATGAGACAAGATAAGATTAAACAAATACGTACTTGTAAAGCTTCTGCGTGTGGATTGTGCATATATATGAGTGGAGTAAATGTTGCATTTAAAGGTAATTTGACACCCACTACAGGTCTTAGTCGATACGGACTACTGACGCTCATTCCTTTTACCTATGAACGGGATTAATACACTTTTAACAAAGATATGTACAAAATTTTGTTTTGCGATTATAATTATATTAACTGGATTACTTGATATTTAACAGTTCCATCTGATGTATGTATAAAAAGATGCGTATCAATATCACCTTCCTCTCGACCAAGAAAGACAACATCAAATGTTGTGTTCCCCAATGGTGGGATTACCTATACAAATCAAAACATGGTTGCATATGAAATCAGCTATGCTCGCATTATTTTATCATAACAACTAATTTCTAATGCATTCAATTTACAAGGCCTGGTAAAATACACAATTGGTTAATCCCTTTTTTCTTCCAGATTTTTTTTAAATAAAAAATAGAACTGAACGTACATGCAATACTATTTTATATTCCAGTTTACATTTCAAGACACTTACTTTGTTTCGAAAGAATGATGAATGGAAATGACGAGTATTTCCAGATATTGATGAAAGGTGGATGGTTTTATTGTGATCTCTATTAAACAAGATCACAGTTTCTTGGTGGGGTATACCAAGTTCTCTAAGGAGAAAAACAAGTCTCATTGTATATATCTCACTTGTTTACATTCATGACATGATTAGTTAAGACTCGCATACCTCTCTTTGAAATCCAAAACATGTGGTTCAAAATAAACATAAGATAATGAATCTTTTGTTTTATCTTCTTCTGATGTTGCATCCCTTAAAACACATAGTTCTTAAATTTGAATACGTTCTGTGTTATGCTCTCGGATACATATATACTAGTAATAGTGGAAATTGAAAATAGGAAAGGTACAAGAAAAATTAGTTTGAAGTAATCACAGTTAGTAAAGCAGTGTTTAGAATTTTAAGCTCAGTCATTTATCGAAGTATTACAATGAAGTGACTAAATGATTAAAATTACGATACATATTTTTACAGTCTACACCTATTTGTGTTCACATCTCTTGTTCTATAAAAAATGCCATATCGAAGTTGAATGTTCTTTTCTACTAACATTAATTGCAATAGAAAATAGTGATATTGGATATGAATATTTTCAAAAGTAAGGAAGGAAACTTATAATGAAAACCTTTCCTACTTCCACTCACCATTATTTTAATGAGTATTATGCTTACCCAGCCCCATGCACTGTATTAGTAAAATCCTATAAAATAAAAACCCAAATTTATATAAAGTCATATAACGTGTATCAATAAATATCACACAATAATGTGTACTATGGTCAATAATCATTACTTGAACAAACATATAAAAACTTCCATTTCTTTTCTAAGTTATCGTAAAACAAAGATAATGAAACATAGATAAGAAAAGAAATAATACTAACCTTATGCATAGACATTGGTATGTTGTCAAAAAGGTATTGAACGTCATTGTCATCCTGTACAAAGGCTGCAGAAAAATGTCATTGAATTACTTCAAAGTATAATAAACACACATTCATATTGAACTACTGCCTTAAACCTACGAATGTCATTAATAAGAAACATATTACTTTTTAATTTTATACCCACAAAGTTCCTTTGAATATGTATGACATAAAATATTTACTAACAATTTAGTTATTACCTTTCAATTAATAATATTATATTATATGTCAATTTCCCAAAGTATAATGCTATGTACATTATAAATATGTTACTGTGATCAGTGATAAGATACAAAATAACAATGTACAGATACAAAAAAGGATTTAAGAAAAATATTTGTGCACATTCTTAAGATTTTTAAAATAAACTTTTATTTCAATAAGGCAGGGAGCAAAAATATTTAGCTATATTGCTCACAGTATTTTGCAAAACAATCAGTACAGACATATAATTTTCCTAAAAAAAATAGAATTTATCGACCTTCAGAAAATGAGAGTTTCAACGTTTGAACAACGTGTTTCAGGTGAATAACGGAGCAATAATATATTAAACGAGTAAGTTTTGTCTTGTGATGTGTTATTGTAAGAAATAAGGATGATAATTAAAATAGCGTAAATATACACTTACCATTATTGTGCCCATGTAAGGACGGTCGAATTTGTGACGTCAGCTCGAAAAACGTTAACAAGAGGATGCAATAAAGTAGTTTTAACTCAGTCATAATAAAAGTTTTCACTGTGTTGTTTGCTGTTTTGTCTTTAGCAGAAATGAAAATCCGCTTTCGGCCATACTTTTGCCACTATCGAATTCTGGCGTATCGATTCTACTTCCGTCTGATTTGAAACCTTTCTACAGACAAATTTCGTCCGGCCAATCTGACGAAGACAGATTATATACTGGCAGCATCTTTTCTTGTTATATCAGTACAATGCTAACATGTTAAAATTGGTTCATCGTTCATTTATTCATTTTCTCGATATTAATATACTTTCATGTAAACGGTTCGGGTTTCACAACGACAATCGCGTGTGGTCGAATGTACAACATATTTATTCGTTGATCGTAATTTTTAAACGTATAATAAGATCACAATATTGTGACTAAATTATATTTTTTAATTGATTTGAATACATTGTTATAACTATTTCTATAAACTATTCATCCAATCATATTACGAGACTGTAACAAAAACTTGTCATTATTTGAAACGAAAAATGAGTTTTAAATCAGTCAGAAAACTAGCCAAATAAATAAATAACTATTGTTAAATAAATACATTGCGTTCGCAATTTATAGTATGGAATTTATTTATAAATATGCTAGATATATATG